CATCATCATCATCATCATCATCATCATCATCACCATCACCATCACCATCACCATCACCATCATCATCATTTGCAGCAGCATCATCAGCATCATCATCAGCATCATCATCATAGTCATCATCATTATCATCAGCATCATGATCAACCCCCCCTTACCCCCTACCCAGACATCGGACGATGTGACTTTTCGACGCTTGGCCCACGAGGTCCCGATCCCTTTCCTGGGTGTAGTTCTCCCGGAACCTTTTGTTGAGTGTCCTCGGGCCTAGTAGCGATCTCCGGAGGCCAAAGTCGTGGAACATCGCCTGGATAGGAAAAAACATAGCGTCGAATATCCGGGCCTACTGAGATTACATCCGCGGATGCTAAGGGGATAAGGGGGTTAGGAGCGGATGCTAGGGAAGGTGGGTCAGATATATGGCCAAATCTGGTTCAAACGCGGGCTACACATGCCCGAAATGGTCTGGGGGGTTCGATAACTCCGCCAAGTGGGCGGAGCTCACTTCGCCTGGATCGTTACCCCCCATGAACCACTGAGGGTTGGAACCTATTTCTGAGCCAGTTTAGGAAAGAGATCACCCACCTTACCATACGCTTCCCCTCTCCCCTTTGCATTCCCATCGGACATCTCAGTATCGCCCACCCTCCCTGACGTCCCCCCTCAGGCGGCAGGGCGGCCCGACGAGTTCAGCTTCACGCTCCGCAAGGCGGACGGCACCGGCCTCGGCCTCAGCGTGGCGCAGGAGGGCCCAGCGCTGCTCATCGAGGCGGTGCGCAGCGACGGCGCCGTGGAGGCGTGGAACAAGTCGTGCGCGGGGCGGCCGGAGAGAGGGAGGCTTCCTCGCCAAGTGCACAAGGGTGTGGTTGCGCCGGGGTGTGGCTGGCGATCTGCGTCGTCGGGGCTCGGGGGGCCACCACGTCGCCCTCGCCGGGCCTCGTCGGGGCGCGGCGGAGAGCTTTGTCGAGGCCCTCGCCCGCCCACCCCCCAGGGGGCGGGTTGCGAACCGCACCCTGCTGCAATTCACACCTTCGGAGTCGCCGACTTTCGGAAGCTTTCGTTCGACAGTGTGCTGCTTGGGGGGCCCCTGTGTGGTTTTCGTCAGCTGCGCTTCGGCGGTGGTGCTCTAGGGAGGCCGGGATCGTCCCGAACGGCCGCCGCCTGAGGGCAAAGTATACCGAGAGAGTATACCGACATCGCGACACGTCCCTCGCCCTCAAGGACGGATTCGCCTGGAGACCATGGTCAGAACGCAGCCCAAGAGAGATCTGGGGAATAGCGGCATCGGTATCTTTTCGCTCCACGCGACGCGAACAAATCGTGACGGCCATTTTTTTTGACGGTATCGACCTCTAGAGGCCATTTCATGGCCGCGGGGACCCCAAGAAACGGCCCAGGAATAATAAAACCAGCCCGGGGGAAGGGGGTCCGTGTCACGAATCGAAACGAGGACTCGGAGGAGAAGAGTGTGCATCTATATTTCAGAGCTTGCCTCTGTAGGGGTCCTGGCGGATTCATTCCCCAGTCAGGGATTGCCTCTGTAGGGGTCCTAGCGGATTCATATGGTAAGGTTAGGTTTGCCGCCGATTTTCGCCACACGCCCGGGTGCCCGGGTGCCCTGGGGTGCCCGGGTGCCCGGGGGTGCCCCATAGTTCTATAGCCCTACAGCCCTACAGCTCTGTAGCCCTATAGCCCTATAGCCCTATAGCTCAATAGCTCTATAGCCCTATAGCCGTATAGCCCTATAGCCCCATGTTTTTTCTCTGGTATCATATGGTTAGGTTAGGTTTGTCGCCGATTTTCGCTGCACGCCCAGGTGCCCGGGTGCCCGGGGGTGCCCGGGTGCCCGGGGGGGGCCCGGGGGTGCCTGGGTGCCCGGGCGTGCCCCGGGGTGCCCTATAGCCTTATAGCCCTATAGCCCTATAGCCCTAAGCCCTATAGCCTTACAGCCCAATCGCCCAAGAGCCCCACAACTCTATAGCCATATAGCTCTATAGCCCTATAGCTCAATAGCCCTATAGCTCTATAGCCCCCTAGCCCTATAGCCCTGCTTGTTTTTTTTCTCCGGTATCATCTGTACATCTATAGCTATTTAGCAATGTATGCAGACATACGTACATCCATACATACATACGTACGTACGCACATGCGTCCATACGTGTATATATGTATATACACACAGATCTTTCATATCTCACGGAAAGAATCGCCCTAAACAGGGGAGGTTTGAGTCAAAGAGGGAGGCTATTCGCGAGTAAGATGTCGGTTCAGTGCGTCGCGTTGTTTTTCGGATAAGTTGTGTCGATTCGCGACGGTGCCGAGCACGAGGCATCCACAGAGATGCAAGCCTGGCCTTCTGCCAGGACTGTCAGGAGGAGGGCGCCTGACCTCGTCTGTGGACAGTCTCGAACGACAAGTGGTTCAAACTATGCGGTGCAATCTATGCGAGGCGGCTACGAGGCGTTGACGGGGCGGCGACGGCAAGCACGGAGCCGCCAGACCGCCAGCCAGCCAGCCCCAGACGACGTGCGGCGACGGGCGCCGACGAGACGGCGACGGGGCGGCGACGGGGCGGCGGCGACGGCGAGCACGGAGCCGGCAGACCGCCAGACAGGCCCAGACGACGGGCGGCGACGAGGCGGCGACGGGGCGACAACGGCGAGCACGGAACTGCCAGACCGCCAGCCAGGCCCGGCTTTGTAGAGGAGAAGAGAAATTCGAGCATTTGAGTGCAAGCCTTGTGTTTGGGGAGCGCACACATTGCATTACATATATGTATGTATATGCATATTTATGTGTGTACAAATGTAAATAAACACCTGTATGTATCATGTGTGCACATGCATACATACCGCCACTCATCCCTCGCCATCACGGCTGGCTTCGCCCCGTCATCCCGGTCAGAACGCACCCAGGCAGAGGTATGGGGACCAGCGGCATCGGTACGTGTCTGCCCCCCCGAGGAGCGCATCGTGGTGCCAGGGGACCGGATCGTCGGCGTGAACGGCGTCACGGAGGACTCGGCGCGGATGCTCGAGGAGCTCGAAGAAAATCAAAACAACGGCACAAACATGAATTCTCGGAGGCCCGCTCGGGTTCTTCCCACCAGCGCTGGGCCTCCCTGCGCCTCGCCTGGGTTCGACGCTGAGCACCCTTCTTTGGCGCGCGATGTGCGCCAGCGAGGAGTGTCCGGCGCCGATCCAAGACATCCGCGCGGACCTCCGAACACCTCAACCTTGGGGCGCGGAGCGCCCCAGCGGCGCCGCTGGAGGCGGCCGCAGGATGTTGAGACCGACCAGGAGGAGGAGGAGGAGGAGGAGGAGGAGGAGAGAAGGAGGAGGAGGAGAAGGAGGAGGAGGAAGAGCAGGGGGAGCAGCAGGAGGAGGAGGAGGAGGAGGCGGAGGAGGAGGAGGAGGAGGTAGGAGGTAAGAGGTAGGAGGAGGAGGAGGAGGAGGAGAAGGAGGAGGAGGAGGAAGAGGAGGAGGAGGAGGGGGAGGAGTAGGAGGAGAGGGAGGGAGGGAGGGAGGGAGGGAGGGAGGGAGGAGGAGGAGGAGGAGGAGGAGGAGAGGGAGGAGGAGGAGGAGGAGGAGGAGGAGGAGGAGGAGGAGGAGGAAGGGGGGCAACGAGGGGAGAGGGGAAGCTTATTGAGGCCAGCTGGGGCTACTCGGAGGGGTCCTCTTCAGGCCAGGCGGGACTGCCTGTGGGGGTGCTGTCCGCGCTCAGTGCCCGAAGTTTTGCGCTTGGCGCCGCGTTGCCCACTCAGTCGAGGGTAGCCCAGGGGGGGCCTGTGGTCCAGCTGGGGGAGGCGCTGTTTTGTTCGTCGCATGCGCCGTCCACGCCTGTTTGTTTCACTCCTTGAGATGACTGGCCGCCCTTCCACCACCACTGCCACAGGTAGGACAGGGGGTGGGGAGGACCTCCGCCCCCTCCTCCTCCTCCTCCTCCTTCTCCTCCTCCTCCTCCTCCTCCTCCTCCTCCTCCTCCCCCTCCTCCTCCCTCTCATACCCATGGCCGTGGTGGTGAACAATCGGCCCATCATGAGGGGCCACTCTTCCCGTGGTGCCCGGTTTTCCCGCTCCGCCCAGGCGCACCCAACGAGAAGTCGGCCTGCCAACGGGCGCCCCACGAGCACTTCGCATCGCCAGCTGGGCCCGCAGAGCCCCCGGGGCCGCCCCTTACGAGGCCCGAGGTCGACGAAGGATGTGCCCCACGATTTTCCTTATAAGAATCGGAGGTGGATCGGCCTCCTACCATTCAGGAGGAAAACAACACACAGACACAATTAATCGTCGACTCCCAGGAAAATATGGGAAAATGTGGGAAGTGGGGGGGAAGGCAATAACCCAGAAAATATTTGAAAATATGGGGAATACTGGTATTTGTGTGAATTTATTTGTGTATCCCAAGGCCCCTTCAGACACGTGGATTAAGGAATTGGCTGTGCTCGGTTCGCGAGAGTCGCGAGAGGGCGTCGCGGCCGTCATTTTTGCGGGTCCAGGTCCGTTGGTTTCGGTCCCAGGCCGTTTTTTTCTCTAAGGGGAGGTTTATTGAATGGAGGTTTGTCCACCGCCGAAAGAAGGCCTCTTGTCCTTCGCCCGTACTGCATGGACTTGGTCAGAGGAGGAAAAGGTACCCATACTTCTACTACCCTTCGCTCGTTCTCCCCTTGTTCGCCCTCCTGGGAGGCCCTCGTCACCACCGCTGGATCCGCCTCGGAATCCTGGCCAGGACGCGCCCCAGGAGAGGTCCGGGGAGTAGCGGTATCAGTACCTTTTGGTTTCCCCAGGCAGGGTTGTTTTTGCTGTCGCTTCTCTGTAGACGTGCGAGTCGTCGCAGCCACTCCTGCGCCTCTCCGTGAGCCGCTCGGGGCGCCTGCCGAGTGACGGCTGCGAAGCTTACACCCCCACGGCAGCACGCCAAGGCATACGCTTCCCCGCCGCCCTGGGGCAGGCGCCTGCCGAGTGGCGGAGAAGACTCTCTTGCACCCTTGCTCGTCTGCTGCTTCTTGTCCCTCCACAGGCAGCAGGCGGCAACTGGCCGGGGCGCGGCGAGTCCTCGGACACCCCCCCACGGGGGCGGCCAGGGCCGGCAACGGGCGGCATCGGGCCGGATCGTGGCGCAGATGGCATACTCGGAGCGCCCCCACTGGCGGCAATGGGCGGCAGCCGCGCGGCGACATGCCAGACGGCGGCGAATTCTCGGGGCTCCGGTTCCAGTCGTTCGACGCGCAAGTACGAGCGCTCTTAAGTGCAAACGCTGGTTGGGGATGTGTTTTCGCTTGCGCCCACGGTCTGGCCGAGGCAGAAGATCCAGGTCGGCTCGGGAAGGGTACCCTCGTGTTCTGCGTGTGCTGTCGGATGCTCTTGCGCATCGGGGGGGAGAGGACCCTCGAAGGTTTTCCGGCTTGGCCGGCAGAGGGTCGAAGGATGCTCTTCTGTCCTCTAGGTCCCACCGTTCTCCATGCCGTTGGGGCCTTGTTCCCGCTCCCCCGGAGGATCGGAGGGAGGAGAAGCGACACCAACACCGCCAGGGGGCCCACCTCCAGCGAGGAGGTCCACGAGGCCCTTCCCGAGCGAGAGACTGGGGATGTCTCGAGCGAGAGGGCGGGGGACCACACCACCAGGTAGACCCCCCTTGCCTCCGCGCATCTCCTCGCCCTGTTGGTGCTGGTGTCGCCTTTCCCTGTTCCCAGAGGAGTGCGAGTCGCAGCAGCTCCTGCGCCTCACCGTGCGCCGCGAGGGCGCCCAGGCCGCCGCGGGCGGCCACGAGGCACCGCCCGCCACGCTGCGCGCGGAGGCCTCCGAGTTCGTCCCCAGCCGGGCAGTGCCAGGGGGGGGGGGGGCGCCATCGAAGGAGAGCAGTGTTTCGGCGGCGAGCTTTTGCCCCCTTTTTCCTCCCCCTCAAAGTTAATTCAAGCTTCGCGCGGCCCGCTTAGCTTCGACCGGACGAGGCGCGCTCTCGACCCGCGAATCAAAAACAGTGTTTCGGCGGCGAGCGAGGGGGGGAAATGGGAAGGAGAAGGCCTTCTCAGAAGGTTCGGAAGTCCCCTGGCCTTCTGAGAAGTTTTCCAAGCTGTCCTCGAAGACAGAGAAAAATCTCTCAGAAGGTGCGAGGGCTTCTGAGAAGTCCCGCCGCCTTCTGAGAAGGCCTCCTTCTTCCCACTTCCCCCCCTCGCTCGCCGCTGAGTGATTGGTCTGCGGCGAGCGGGGTCCACGCGGTCACGTAGGCATCCCAGATGGGGTTTCGGAGTGGATGGGGTCGGAGGATCGCGCCGCATCGTCGCTGCATCGGCGAGGCGGCTCGACGTAGGGCGCCCGACCCACGCCGGCGTCGCCGATGCAATGATGCGGTGCGATCCTCCGACCCCATCCCTGGCATCGTTCGGACGTGTGCATTTTTTCTCGGCGAGGAGACCCTGGAGGAGCATCCTGGATCATCGTGCAAACAAAAAACGTCCGAGCGATGGCGAGCATCCACTGTGACACCATCTGGGAGGCCTCGGTCGAGCAAACGGCGGGGCGCATCCGTTGCGAATCTGGGCACGGGCGTGGGCGGGCGAAGGGCGAAGGGGCGGAAAAAGTCGCAGGACGGCCAGAGAACCCCCAGGTCGTGCAGACCTCCATCAAGCAGTGGCGAAGCGTCCTGGCGTGCCTATAGTCCTACCAAACAATGTTCTGAGAACCGCTTGTAGTTCCCACGAAATGGTCTTAGAACATTTCTTGCGGAGTCCATCTTGTTTTATCACATCGGGATTATGGTCTAAGAACTTTGTTTTTGTTCTTAGAACAGTATTGGGTTCTAAGAACATGTCCTGGTAGGACTCTAGGAATGCCGGGGCGGTCGGTCCCGGCTCAATTCAGGATGTGCTTGTTGGGAGCGGGCTCACACTCACGACACAGCCAGTACAGACGCACAAGCCAGGGGCCCAACACTGAAGCAGAACAAGCGGTATAAGCATGCAGTCAACGCGCCTAATTAGTGAGCCCGCGCGCTTTCATCTGGGGTGCCCTCGTGTCCTTGCCTCTGCGGCCCGTCCTTTGCCGCTTTCACTGGCCGCCCACCGCCCAAACAACTCCATACAGGTGGCCCGGATTAGTAGGTCGACCCTGCCAGCTCAAGGGTACCCTTGTGTCCTGTGCCTCGCGACACGTGCCTCCTTACGCTCCAGGGTCTTGTGTCCTCCCGCGTGACCTGTCCAATCACGGCCGACTGTACCACCCGCGTGGCTCTTTTTTCGGAGCTCCGCGCGGACTTTCTGGACCGGCGTTGCGGGCCTCCCCTGTGGCGGCGCCCCTGTCGCCGCAGGAGGGCCTCCAAGCGTTGTGGAGGACGATCAATGGAGAGGAAGCATGTTGCCAGATAATTTCCAGATGTCCAGAAGATGTGTTGAAACTTGTTTAAACATGTCAGAAACATGTGCCAAACATTTCCAAGACATGTTTCCGACATTTTAAGCACATGTTTAATTCGATGATAGGACTGTTAGGGTGTCCATTGTCGTGGCATCCACAACCCTAGCGCCGATCCGAGGAATCCGCGCGGACCTTCGAGAGCCTCTGCTTGTGAGGATGCTTCTTCGACTCATCTCCCCCGCCCGAGATCTCCACGTCGAGCTCCTCCCATGAGATCCCGGCGACTCAATCTTTTCGAGCCGGGCGACCCCTACGGATCGATCCGGCTTGTTAAATAATTCAGGAAGATGGGGGCTCTGGGGTCCCGTCGTGATTTTTGGCGATGTTGCAGTTTGTTTGCAACGTCGGATCTCAGGGTCTCCTCGTCGAGCTCCTAATTATCTTCTGTCCGAAAGCAGCTCCTGGGAGCTATCATTCTGTACCCGCGCTGGTATGCCCGTGGTCGAAAAATCGGCTTAATCTGGCACAGTTCAATCTATTTCCGCTCCATCCGGCTCAGATCCGCTCAATTCGGTGAAGCATGGAGGCTCACGTACTCGTCCTCCTCTCCATGGAAGGTCGGGGATCGAGCCGTGACGACCTCGCGCCGTGCAACAAAAACACGACGTGAAACCTTTGGTGGCAAGTTTCAGCCTCCTTCCGAATTTACGGGGCCCACAGGCTGTCAAAAGCTGTTCAGGATGAGAAAACGGTCCCCGCGAAGGGGTCCAGACGTATGGGCCGTATGGGGAGCCACTTCTCTTCTTCTTCAACCGAACATATGTCCTCGGATGTTTTACGAGCAGGGCGCATCGAGGAGGTTCGGGACGCTTTTTGGTGTGTTCAGGTACCCTCGTGGGCCTGGATCGGCGGCGAGCGGTGGGGTGAGATGAGAAGGTCCCTCGGCAGGCGGTGGGACGTCTCAGAAGCCCTCGCGCCGTCTGAGAAGTGCGGGTTCGTCCTCGGGGAAGGCCCAGGAGACCTCTCAGAGGGCGGAGCGACTTCCGAACCCTCGGAGAAGCATCCGCCCCGTCCCACCACCCCCCCCTCGTGGGCTCGCCGCCGATCCTCTGGAAGGAGCGAGAACAAGGCCCCGGCGGCACGGAGCAGGCGCACAGGAGAGCGCATCCCCGCACAGCGCTTTTGCACGTGAGGTACTCGTTTTCTTATCCATCATTTTGCCGATCTACGAGCTACTCCACGAGGAGGAGCAGGTGGAGGTGGAGGAGGAGGAGGAGGAGGAGGAGGAGGAGGAGGTGGAGGAGGAGGAGGTGGAGGTGGAGGAGGAGGAGGAGGGGTGGGGGGGCGGCGATCGCCTCTCCCTCTCGGGGCGCCGATCGGCCCCCCCCCGGTGGAGTAGCTCGTAGATCTTGGCTGCTTGGGGCGCCTGTTGCGAGCAGGTGGGGTCTCCCCCCCCCTCGGACGCACCGTTCCAGACAGTCGCGTGGAGCAGAGGTCCGGAGCCACACCACCCTCACCCCCCCGCCCTCCCCCCCCCCTTCCGCCCGAAGTCGAAACGCCGAACAAGAAAACGCTCACAAGATGGATTTCCGAACCTTCTGAAAGGGCCTTCTCCTTCTCGCTTCCCCCCTCGCTCGCCGCCGATCCGAGGGGTCTGGAGGAGGCCCGCCTCCTGCAGGAGGTGGCGGCCCCTTCGTGGTGGCTCCCTCTGGCACTGCCTGCCTCATGGGAGTCTTCTCGCCACCGGCCACACCGGGCGCGTAGCCCAACGGAGGTCGAAGAAGAAGACGCTGCACAACGACCAGATGCAGCATGGCCCAAGGTCGAATCGGAAGGTCGAATCGACAGTCGGTATTTCTATACATATATCATATATATATGTGTATATATACGTAGCACCCCGCAATTGCGGATACGAGTGAGGGGGCGGCGGGGACGTCGGCAGTCTGCGAGGCTTTGAAGCTCGCCGCAGGCGCAACATTTTTTCAGCTATGCAACGAGCCCGCCGCAGGCGCCGATTTTGTTAAAACAGTGTAGGTGGGTCGCGGGTTGGGTCGCAGGTGGGTCGCGGGTGGGTCGACGGTGGGTCGCGGGTGGGTCGCGACGTGGGTCGCGGGTGGGTCGCGGGCCGGTCGCGGGCCGGGTCGCGGAGAGGACGACGACAACAACAAGCAGAACCTTTACCACGGATCCCGACTTCAGCCACGCACCCGGGGACAATGAATGACCGTTTGGCCCCCTCACTCCGATATACATATATATATATATATGTATATATATGTGTGTGTATGTACAGATATCGAATCGCTAGAAAACGGCAGGCAGATCGGAAGGCATCGAAATCGATGCCCGGCGGCCCGAGCCGAGATTTGCACGAGGAAGTTCAGGCCGACGTCGAAATGCGGAGCCGGATCGAATCCAATTCGGAATCCTCGCAGAACTATTCGACGCGCATCGGCGGAGTCGTCGTGGCTCCTGCCCGAGGTGGAGAGGAGGGAGACCACCTGACCCACCGCCCGTAGGGCGCCCTCTAGATACCCCCCGCAGCTCCCGAGCTGCCCTGCTAATTAGGGCCGAGCAGGCCGCGAGCGGAGGGGAGAATTCGGAATTCGTCGTTGTTTTGCGCCCGCCCGGCGCGCCTGGAGGGAAAAAGGTCGCCGCGCCCTTCGCCGACGACGAGGACGCGAGGACGAAGGCGAGGGGGCGGAGGCGTGGGAGGGTGTCGGGAAGGGAGGATGAGGAGGAGGACGAGGAGGAGGAGGCGGAGGAGGAGGAGGAGAAGGAAGAGGACGAGGACGAAGACGAGGAGGAGGAGGAGGAGGGCGAAGATGAGGAGGCGGAGATGCAGGAGGAGGAGGACGAGGCGGAGGTGGAGATGCAGGAGTTGGGGGATGCGGAGGAGGTGCTGGCGGAGGAGGCGGAGGAGGGAGAAGCTCGAGAAGGAGGAGAGGAGGAGGAGACGGAAGAGTCAGAGGAGGAGGAGGAGGGAGAAGCAGGAGAAGGAGGAGGAGGAGGAGGAGCTGTTGGAGGGGACACGGTGTAGCGCAGGCCCCGCGGGGGGCGGGGGGCAGCCTGGGGGCAGAGGCCGCCAGCGGGTGCGAGAGGGCGAGGGGGGGAGTAGGAGGAGGAGGAGGAGGAGGAGGAGGAGGAGGAGGAGGAGGAGGACCAGTGTAAACCCAAGAGTCATCAACGATGTTGCAATTAACCCCCCCTCCAAGCTCCCTCTTCATAGGCCCCTTACAATGGTTATTTCGATTGAGGGCACTGCCTCGGGGGAAGACAACCGTTTGAAGACCTTGAGGCATGCCTAAACATAGCTCTTGAGACTTCCACGCCACGGATCAACCTGAACTGCGTTCTGACGATCTGGAATCGTGCGAGAACGTTCGTTTTAGGATTTCAGCACCACGAATCAACATAACTGTTGCACCCGCATAATCCCAATTCCTTCCAAAACACCATTTCTGATAAGCTGACCATGGGAATCCGTGAAACTCTTACGAAGCTTAAAAAAGGAATGTGCGCGGCGCTAAGGCGAGAGCCAGATTTTGAAAAGGAACCGTCCTACATCCGTGAAGCCCTTGGAATTTTCCAGAACGAATGTGCGAGGCGCTGAGGCGAGAGCCACATTTTGAAAACCACACGCCCTCAATCCATGAAGCTCTTGCAAGTGTTTAAATAAAACAAATGCGTGCTGCGCTAAGGCGAGAGCCACAGTTTGAAATCGGCCACCCCCCATCTGTGAAGTTGTTGCCAATGTTCAAGCTTACGACGAGTGTGCGCCGCGCTGAGGCGAGAGCCACATTTTGAAAACGACACGCCCTCAACCCGTGAATTTCTGGTAAATGTGTAAGACGAATGTGCGCCCCGCCCAGGCGAGAGCCACAGTTTAAAATCCAATTCGTGAAATTATTGCGACCTTTTAGAACGAATGTGCGCGGCGCTAAGGCGAGAGCCACATTTCGAAAACCACCCACCCTCAATGTGTGAAACTCTTGCCATGCTTTAAGCTTCAGAGTTATAAGTGGTGAGACAGTCTCAGGCGGAACGCCCGGCCCGCGCTGACAACTGGCTTCGGGGTGCGACAAGGAGAGCTCATTTCTACGGAAAAGGAGTGGAGGAGGAGGAGGAGGAGGACCAGTGTAAACCCAAGAGCTATCAAGGATGTTGGAATATACCCTCCCTCCAATCTCCCTCTTCATAGGCCCCTTACAACGGTTCATTCACATTGAAGGAACTGTCTCTTTGGAAGACAAACGTGTGAAGAACCTGAACGATGCCAAAACATTGATCTCGGGGTTCCAACGCCATGCTGCGTCTTGACCATCCTGACTGTTGCGTCTTGACCATCCTGACTCGCGCCAAAACGCCATTCCTGGGACTTCAACACAGCGAATCAACATAACTGTTGCACCCGCGTAATCCGGAATCTTTTCGACACATTATTTCTGGCACGTTGGTGATGGAAATCCATGAAACCTTTTCAAATGCTTAAGACGAATGTGCGCCGCACTGAGGCGAGAGCCACATTGTGAAAACCTTCTGCCGTTTTTTAGTTTTTGAATATTAGAAAAACTTGACTGGAGCCCTGGGCCCCATTTGAATGCGGCATCTGTTCGAGCCAGGTCGATCCGTGAGGGCCCCTGTGGGGCCCGAGTCGGGGCATCTTTGTCCCTGGTGAAAACAAGGCGGCGCCAGGATCTCAGGGTCTCTGGCGCTGCGCAACAGCAGCAGCAGCAGCAGCCGCAGCAGCAGGCGAGAGGCTTGGCGGGCTACCCGCAGCAGCTGCGTCTCGTCGTCGTCGTCGTCGTCGGTCGTCGTCGTCGTCGTGGTCGTGGTCATGGTCGTTGGTCGTTGGTCGTTGGTCGTTTGTCGTCGTCGTCGGCGTGGTCGTCGTCGTTGTCGTCTTCACCGTCGTCGTCGTCGTCGTCGTCGTCGTCGTCGTCGTCGTCGTCGTCGTGAGCGTTGGTTGTCGTCGTCGTCGGCGTCGTCGGCGACAGCACCAGCGTCGTCGTCGTCGCTGTCGTCGTCGTCGCTGTCGTCGCTGTCGCCGTCGTCGTCGAGCGGCGAGCTGCCCAGGCCACCGCCGAGGAGCTGGAGGCCCTGCGCCTCGCCTGGGGCGTCCGGCCGCGGGGCGCCCGCGGCGGCGCGGAGGGCGCGGGGCAGCAGAAGCCGACGCAGAAGGAGCCGCGGGCGTCGCGGTCGTCGGCGGCGTGGCCGCGGTCGTCGTCGTGGTGTCGGCGGCGTGGTCGTGGTCGTCGTCGTGGTGTCGGCGGCGTGGTCGTGGTCGTGGTCGTCGTCGTCGTGGCGTCGGCGGCGTGGTCGTGGTCGTCGTGCGGGCCTCGCCGCCCCCGTGGTCGTTGTGTCGGCGGCGCGCGCGACCTCCGGGGCGGAGCTGCCCTGTTGCGCCCGTCCTGAGTTTCTAGGCCTCCCAGAGGGTCTCGGAGCAGATGGGGCCGGAGGTTCGTGCCGCATCGCCGACGCATCGCCGATGCAGATCGATGTGGAGGAGCCCGATGTGCTTCGCGTCGACGTCGCCGATGCGTCGCCGATGCACGGGCGATGCTGCGTGACCCTCCGACCGCATCTACTCCAACCCCATCTAGGAGTCCTCTAGAAGCACAAGGCATACAGCCAATCCGCATAGTATGGGCGAGCGTCTTTTCAATGTCCTCCCTGCATCCCTACACTTCGGCCTCTCCTTGGCCGCTTTCGCTGGCCGCGCCCCACTCGCAAAGTGTTGGCATGGCCTTCCAAGGTCCTTACATCACTATCGTGTCTCATTACTATACGGGTTGGACCGTACCGTGTTCAAAGCGTCCAGTTAAGCACATTGCGTGTTGGCTCAACGTGTTGGCCCACGTTCTGGATAAGGTATCGCGCCAGCAGAGGCCGACGCATAAGGAGTGCCACCACGCCGCTGCCGTCGCGGCGGGGCCTCGCCACGCGTGGGCCCCTGCAGGGTCCCCTCGAAATCGGTTTCGGCCGGCCCGATCCGAGTCGGCTCCGACGTGTCGCGATTCGACACGGCCTGATGCCTTCATAGCGCCTGGCGCAGCCAATCCGATGCGATTCCGACACCAGACCAATGCAGCCCGATCCGCCGTTGCCGTTGCGGTGTGGCCTCGCCCCATCGGCGGCGCGCGCAGCCTTCTCTGCCGTGTTCTCGTTGTGCACAACATATCAGCCAGCGCAGACCCCACATAAATCAGAAGAGTGACATGAGCTGAATTGGAGTAGACTGAAGTAGACTGAACTGGAGTAGACTCGACGGGATTGCGGTGGGCTCTACTCAACATTTCTACTCCACTCTGATCTACCACCCTGCCCCACTCTGCTCTACCATCTACCCCTCTCTGCTCTGGTCTACTCCTACTCCGCTTTACCCAACCTCACCCTAACCTACTCTGATGTCAGCTTGTGGTGAACAAGTGATGGCCTCCCCCCCCAGGGGCTGATCTGATGAATAGACCCCGAGCGGCCGACCCTTGCACCATGACCCCCCCAGCCTAGATGCCTGCGCAGCATCGTGGCATGCCTGGGCATGGCCGTGGCGATGCCTCGGATGCCCGGGCATTTGCATAGGTAGACCTGCTACGAATGCCTCGATGGATGCGTCCATGGACGTGGCTGGACGCAGCTGGGCGCGGCCGATGCTGTGGCATCGACCTGGTGATGCCCAGGCATCGAGCTGGTGACGCCTCGGCCTCGGCAGGAGGGCGCGCAGGGCAGGACATCGATGGTTCAGGGCACCGGAGCCGCTGGGCCGTGCCAGAGGGTACCGACGACGTGCGGGCCTCTGGTCGGCAGAGTGGTCGCTGCGCTCGAAGCTCGCGCAGAGGGCCACGCGCGAAGGGCTTGCGCTCGACGCTCGAAGCTGCGCTCGAAGCTCGCTGGTCGGTGGAGTGGCCACGCGCAGAGGGGGGAGCAAGGCATCGGGGGAGGCGAGGAGGAGGAGGAGGAGGAGGAGGAGGAGGAGGGGGGGAGGAGGAGGAGGAGGAGGAGGAGGAGGAGGAGGAGGAGGAGGAGGGAGGAGGAGGAGGAGGAGGAGGAGGGGGAGGAGGGGGGGGGGGGGGATGCTCGTCTGTCCCAGGTCCGACTGTAGGGGAGGAAGGGCTCACGGGGGGGATGCCTCGACCCCCGACCGCCGCCCACGGATCGCCGATAGGGGCCCGATGGACTCGACCCGCCCGGGAAGGCGCGGGTTTGCTACCGGGGGGCCCATCGCCGACCTGTCGACGAGGTATCGCGCCGATTCCAGGTCGATGCATCCCCCCTGTGCCGGTCCCCCCCTTTGATCGTTGCCCCTCAAGAGGGGGAGGGGGGAGGGCTTCCTGGAAGCGCCCCTGCAGAATAGCGCGGGCCTTTTCTGGAGATGCAGGGCCGGCGCTTTGAAAGAAGCGGCCTCTTTCTAAGAAGCCTCCCCCCCCCTCCCCCTGCCCCCCTCTGCGCTCCACCAAGAAGTGGGAACGCAAATAATTCCGGAGAGACGTAAGACTTGAGTGCGCCCGAATTCGGGCTTGCCAGCGCTTTTTGACGAGAGCGTCCTGCGTGCCCAGTTTTCGTGGGAGATCTGCAGCGGGAGCTCGCGCCAAACTTCAGATTTATTTTCGTGTCTTCCTTGATAACCACGTTAGGCCACGCCGAGGCCCCCGAACCCGCGTCTTACACGTCTCCCCGATAATGGATCGGTGGCGAGCGAGGGAGGGACGTGCGAAGGAGGAAGGCATTCTCAGAAGGCGGTGGGACGTCTCAGAATCGCTGCGGCCGTCTGCGAAGTTTGTTGTGTCTTCGGGGAGGGCTCAGAACGTTTCTCAGCAGGCCGGGGGACTTCGAGTCCTCGGAGAAGCCCAGGCCCCTATATCACTTCCCTCCCGGGCTCGCCGCCGAACTGATGAACGAGCCACACACGCACCCATACCCGTAGGGTTAAGTCGGGCGTGTCCCCCTACAGAAGATTTTCGACGAGAAATTACCCCACAAATACCCCAAAAGGGTCAAAACATATTTAAAAAATAGTCCCCAGACTATTTGTGGATTTTTGTTTGATTACTTTTGGTGTATTTTCTATTTTTCGTCGAAACTCCCCCTGTAGGGGGACACGCCCGACTTAACCGTAGGGGGCTCGGAGGGAGGAGGGCTGGCTACGGGTCTGGACGCTGGCTGGCGGACCCCGAGAGCGGCTTCCTCCGTTCGAGCGGGGGCCCCCGTCCGACAGCGCGCGCCCGTGGCCTTCTCTGTCCCCCCCCCCCCGAGGGGGAACAGTCGGGGCGTTGACCTAAGGAACCCTAAATAAGGAACGAGGCCCCTCCTTTCCCACAAGTTAAACTTCGATGCCCCATCGAAAACCTTGGGACAACCTGAGGCAAGCTGTGAAACAATCGAGGAACACGGAGCCCCTCCCCAACGAAAATGGTTCCTTCTTCAGGGCCCCGACTGTATGGGTGTGTGTGGCGTTCGTTCGCCAGAGATTGGGGGCAACGGAAGGGGGGCATGCCGTCGGACCGAGGTGTGGGATCGAGGTCGGTTCGGGGAGGGTGCCCTGTAGTGTTCTTCGTGTCTGTTGGGTGTTCACGTGCATCCTGCGGATGGTACCCTCGGAGGTTCTGTGTGTTTTTGCGCCGGCGGAGGGTCTCGTGTTCTTGCAGGACGTGCTTCCGTCTTTGTCTGACTGCAGGGGGGGACAGGCTCAGGGGGGGACGCATCGACCCCCCCGGTCGCCCACGGATCGGCGACGGGGGCCCGAGAGCCCCAACCCTCCCAGGAACATGCGGGTTCCTTATCGGGGGCCCATCGCCGATCTATCGGCGACGTGTCGCCGATTACCAGGTCGATGTTTCCCCCCCCCCCCCCCCCTGTATGCCCATCCCCCCCCTACCGTTGCCCCTCATCGGTGTGGGTGCACGCTGTTCGTTCGCCCATGAATGGGGACGATCTCCGACAGCTGTTCCTGCCCATTTTGAACGGGGCTCACTGTCGGTATCGCTGCGGGCGCTGCCCCATCTGGGATACAGCTTCGCCTGCTCAGCAGCGGCCGCTGTGTGTATTGGGCAGTAGGTGCTATGGGGGTGCCGTTCCCATGTATGTTCGTAATTACCCATTTCGGGCGTCCAATGCTGTTGGGTGACGTTCCCACTTATGTTCGTACAAATTCTGGGCGTCCAAGTCGCAGCAACTTCGCAATGGTCAGAGGATGGCAACGGACTCAGTCGAGGCAACGGTGGCCCGCGCTCGGCGCTCTGCGTCCTTTGGGGGGCCTCCTGGAAAGGCTTCCCGTCGCTGCGGCTGGATCCGCCCCGAAAACCTGGCCAACGCCGAACACGGCCGCACACCTCCCGGCGTGCTTCTGCTCACGGCGTGGGCATGTCTGGGGAGCCCGGGCGAAAAACGTATCCGCATCCGCGGCCTCGCTCGCCGAGCCCCTGGGCCGCGGCCCCGCGGATGCGGGGCGTTTTCTGCTGCGGATGCCCCGCGCGGGGCGTGTCCGTGCGACCGCGTGCACGCGGGCTCGCGCCCCAGACCCCGAGGGCGCGGATGCGGATAATTACGCTCGCCGCTCGTGGTGGGGGCGTGCTCCCCCGCAGGAGGCCTACTTCGACTGCCTGGCGGCGATCGCGCGGCGCGCCGAGCGCGCCTGCGTCATGCAGGCCCTGCGGCCTCCGCCGCAGGAGGCGGCCGCGCCGCTGCCAGGCGGGCGGCCGGGTTGCGCCTCTGCGCCCCCGCTCTTCTCCCCTGGCATCGCTCGGGCGTGCTCACCTTTTCTCGGCGAGAGCCATCTCGGGGAGCATTTTTGGGGGTCATCCTGGGACACATTGCACGCACGCAGTCGACAAGTGCACGGGGAATCGACGTCCGAGAGATGGCGAGCTTTTGGACCACCCTGGCAGAGGTACAACGCCGGGGATGCGCCGACGTGCGTCGCCCCCACTGCGGCGCCTTCAGAGCTCGTCCACGGAGGCCTTCGTGGCGGAGGTCTTGAGACTCCGCCTCCGCCGCCTCCTTCGCGATTGTCGCTCTCGGCTGAGGCTGGATGTCAGACTGTCCCCCCCCAGGCGACGTGCGCTGCGTTTCTCCCTGTCCTCCTCCTGTGTCTTTGCGTATTTGCCTCCTCGGTCCACCCTTAACCGATTTCGACAGCCGGCCCTGCCCGAAACGCCTCGACATGGGCGCACAAGGGGGATTGTATCCTGCATCCTTGTCGCGCGTCCTTGCTGTCATTTGTCACTGTGCCCTTGCGAGTGGCCTTTCGCCGGGGTGTTCCTCATGCAGGCGCAGTGGGGCCCCCCGACCGCTGAGCGCGATGCGATCGCACGGGTTTGCGCGACTGCGGTTGTGGCCCCCAGTGCCCCCCCCATACGCCGCGCACCAATTTGGTGCCCCCCCATACGCCGCGGTTGACGCGCAACAGAGCAACGGCACTTACTTAGAAGGCTTGTCTGCTTTAGCAAGTAGCTCCTTCAAAGTAATAGTGTGAATTTGCCGCTTCCAACCAAAGGCTGGGCCTTCAGACCTCGACATTGCCTGACCAGTCCGCGGGATGGGCCGAGAAACGAGTTGTGACTTGTCCTGGCCGAAATTAAAAAAAACGTAGTGCCTTGGTGGACGTGTCTTTTCCAGTGGTCTTCCAGCATAGGGAGTTGGCTGGTCACTTCACCTGGACAGCTCCAGGCGCTGGCCGAAGGCGCCATCGAGCCGAAGCAGGCTGAAATGCTGGGCGCCGGCGTTTCTCGGGGGGGCGCGCCGGATGCGGTCAGAGTTGGGGCACCCCGCAGGTGGCCAAAATCCCGCGCGCGGTCCCCGCCCTCGTCTCTCTGCGAGCAGCGACGAGGTCTATAGAAATGGGGTTCGCGCGCAGGGCGGGGCTAAAGCACCACCCAGAACTCTTCGATCCCAGCGTCCGCGCATGGGCGCGTGCCCCGCCCGACGCCGCCGCCCATCTTCTTCCTCGTCTGCAGCGCTGTTTGCTTTCTTGTCCGTGGGCATAGAATCTCCATGCCGTGGAAGACCATGCCAAGAAACACCCTGCTTGCCTCCAGGGGGGGCCCTGAGTTTCTTGCGTTTCGATGCTTTTTTTGTTGCGGAGAGCGTGACGTTCCCACGCCAAGAGTCAATGGACGTCTTGGGGTCTCAAGGTTGGGTTTCTTGTGGAAGGTTTCTTGTGGACTGGCCTCCACTGTATCGGTATCCATGCCCTCGCGGTCCGCGCACCGCGGCACGCTCCCACGGAAAAGCGCGACTCCATGGACACGCTCCGCGCGGCGCCTTCCGCGCGAAGCCGCCATCATGCACCCAGGTTCTCTCAATGCAGGTTCCCGCAAGTCCCGACCCTCTCCCTGGGGCCAGCCTTTCGCCCCAGGCCGCTTTCGGACTGGCCCCGGCCCCCGGAGCTCCGAACACGGCCGCACACCTTCTGCCGTGCTTCTGCTCACGGCGTGGGCATGTCTGGGGAGCACGGTTCGGTAGCAAATCGTGGGAGCCTGATATACCCTCACGATTCCGTCTTTAGCGTTGATGTGCGTCTGGGAGTCGATGAGATAGCGGTGATTTAGCGTCGGTTAGCGTCGGGTTCCGATGGTTTGCCATGGAAAGCGCGGCGTTCCCACACCAAAGACGAGTGGACGTCTTGGGGTCTCAGGGCTGGGTTTCTTTATGAGGGTTTATCGTGGTCGAGCTCCTGTACGGCCGTGGGCCCGCTTGCCTGACGCGTGCGCCTCGGTGGAGGAGCCGGAAGACACGGAAGAGGATCATCGGCGCGTTTGCACAGTGTACAAGTGTGCAACAATTTGCCAGAGTCGAGGTGCAATATTTTCGCTGACAGAGTGCATGGCGGCCAAGCGAGCGGTTCGGGGAATGCCCCTTGTTCTTTCCGGTCCGCGCGCCTATTTTCAGTGTTTCGCGATCCCCCGTGCCAGATTTTCTTGTAGTGTTGTGGACTGTTACGCCGCCAGTCGTGCCCGCGATGGCGCCCATCCATCGTGTCGGCTTGCTTTGGCCCCCTCAAGGCGGGGCGAGGGGTTCTGTGTCCCCAGTCCCCCCATCTTCGCGTTTAGTTTGCAATGGACATGGAGACGTCGACCACTTCATATAAAGGGCCGGCTTCCCAGCCTGAGTTGTGTTTTTGACGGCCCTATGGGGCCCCGCAGAGGGCCCGCGGAGGGCTGACAGTTACCACAGGCCTTCCGGCGGGATCTTTTCTCACGGCCCGAGGGGGTTTGGGTCCAGAGGGGGCCTGGCCCGTCCCCAACACGGCGCCTCGTGTGCAGGAGCATTGGGGCACAGTCGGACGGGGCTAGGATAAATCCGTTCCGGAGGGCTCTCAGAACGCTCTACGAGGACCGCGGCACCCAAGACATCCTCCCCAGAGCCGCCGGATCTCAGAGATTACGAAGGCCGCGGCGCCCAAGACATCCTCTCCAGAGCCGCCCGATCTCATAGATTCTGGATCGATCCTCACCTAGATTTCTCCTCGCCCTGGACTCGTCTTAGCACGGGGCCCCAGCCTGCCCTGCCGGCCGAGTGGCGCGCCCTCGGCGGGCTCCGCCCCGGCCGCGAGCGCGAGCGAGTGGCGCGCTCCCGGCAGGCTCCGCCCCGACCGCGAGCGCGAGCGAGGCCGCCCTGCTGGCCCGCAGGGCACGGCTGCAGAAGGAGGCCTGCCCCGCGGCCACTGCCGCCGCCGCTGCCAGCCAGGGCCGCGCCCACCGCCGCCACCGCCCACTGCCGGCCACTGCCGCGCCCCCTGCCGCCGGCCGCCGTTGCCGCTGCCGGCGCCGCCTCTCTACCACTCACCGAGCGTGTTCCACTGATCGCAAAGTGCCTACTCGCAAATGCCAGAACAAAAAACACATGCCTACTTCGATGTCATTTTTCGTAGATCCCCCGCGGCGGATCCAGGCCATTTGCGAGTAGTTGCTGACATGTGCGAGTAGTGGAACGCGCTCGTCTAATCACCGAGCCCGCCACCGGCCGCCGCCGCTGCCGCCGTCTTCGTCGCAGCTCCCAGAGGGGCACAGCGTGGGCGAATACAGCCTGTGCGTGGCCGCGGCCTCGCGGGCCGGGCCCCGAGGAGTCCGCGGCCCACCGCAGGCGCTGGGCGTTCTGTTCCCGGATGCACCGCGCGGAACGTATCCGTGCGACCGCGCATCCGTAAGTCGGGCGTGTCTTTCTACAGGAAGAATGTTCAAAAATAATCGAAATGTATACGAAGACGGTTTTTTCATGTTTGACAAATGTGTAATATTTGGGGAGTTTTATTCTTCGTCCAAAATCCGCCTGCAGCGGGTCATGCCCGACCTAAGCGTATCCGCGGGATCGTGCACCGGAGTCCAGACCTTGAGGGCGTCGATGCGAATACGCTCTCCGCTCATTCATGAATCCAGGGCATGGCGCGAGGCAGATGGACGTTGTGTGAGGGGGGGGCGTTGGGCTGGTGTCCTCTGAGAGCGCCAGTCTGGACCGCAGGAGCCCCCGAGGGTTCTGGGACACCAGGGAGTTTTCCCCGACCTGGCGGAGGGGTTCCCGTTGTGTGTCCCCCTGGGGGGGTCTGGGGGGGGACCCCCCCGGACAGGGCCCCGGCCACGGGCGGAACGCCGGCGGAAGACGGCCGAACACGGCACCATGCTGCACCATTTTTGTAGACGCGCTTCCGGGAGGCACGTACGGCCCCAAGATGATCCACAAGACGGTCCAAGAGGGCCTCGAGTCGCCGAAAGATCGGCCCAAGACGCCCAAGGAGCCCCCAAAACGGTCCAGGAGGCCTCCAAGAGGCTCCCCAGGAGAGCCCCAAGAGTCAAAATTCATTACTTTTCCATAGGTTTTTCGACGTTTTTCGTGTTCTCGCCTGTTCGGCTTCCCGCACTCCAAGACGGCCCAAGAGGCTCCAAAGATCGCTCCAAGACGGCGTAAGCGGCCCCCAAGAGAGCGCCCAGACGGCCCAAAAAGCCCCCAAGACGGCCCAAGTCGCCTCCAAGACGGCCTCAGAAGGTGCCAGGAACGCCCCAAGAGAGTCCCCAGGGGGGAGGCAGGCACCGACATTTCGGGCTCCCCGCCCGAAGAGATCCCCAGGAGGCCCCGAAGAGGCCTCCAAGAGGCTTCAAGACGCCTCCAGGAAGCCCCCAGAAGCCTCCAGGAAGCCCCCAGAAGCGCCCAAGAGGGCCCCGACACTGCCTCAAGAGGGCCCCAGGACCTGACCTCCGCTCCGAGATGTACCGTCCTTTTTTGGATACCTTTTCATCCAAGAAGCTTGGCCAGAAAAGCCCCAGTCGAAATTTCAAGTTCCCACAAGTCCCCCAGAAAGCGTTGACGGGCAACGTGCTCAACTCACGCTCGTGTGCCTTCTGTCATCTTTTCTTGCGCACATCCTTTCCAAACCTGGTGGCTCGCATGGTCGCGTGCTCAGCTCACCTAATATGTCTCCGAGCCCAACTGCCCAAACGGACAACCAGGGAACCAACATAGTGCACCATCAAGGCATCTTCTTCTTTAGTTCCGACATTTCGGGCTCCCCCCAGAAGTCACCAAGAGGCCCCCAGGAGGCCCCGAAGAGACTCCAAGTGCCTTCTGTCATCTTTTCTTGCGCACATCCTTTCCAAACCTGGTGGCTCGCATGGTCGCGTGCTGAGCTCACCAAATATGTCTCCGAGCCCACCTGCCCAAACGGACAACCAGGGAACCAACATAGTGCACCAGCAAGGCATCCTCTTCTTTAGTTCCGACATTTCGGGCTCCCCTCCCGAAGAGACCCCCAGGAGACACCAAGAGGCCCCCAGGAGGCCCCGAAGAGCCTCCAAGAGGCCGCAAGACGCCTCCAGGAAGCCCCCAAAAGCCTCCAGGAAGCCCCTAGAAGCGCCCAAGAGGTCCCCGACACTGCCTCAAGAGGGCCCCAGGACCTGACCTCCGCTCCGAGATGCACCGTCCTTTTTTGGATACCTTTTCATCCAGGAAGCTTCGCCAGAAAAGCCCCAGTCGAAATTTCAAGTTCCCACAAGTCCCCCAGAAAGCGTTGACGGGCAACGTGCTCAACTCACGCTCGTGTGCCTTCTGTCATCTTTTCTTGCGCACATCCTTTCCAAACCCGGTGGCTCGCATGGTCGCGTGCTGAGCTCACCTACTATGTCTCCGAGCCCAACTGCCCAAACGGACAACCAGGGAACCAACATAGTGGCCGCAAGACGCCTCGAGGAAGCCCCCAGAAGCCTCCAGGAAGCCCCTAGCAGCGCCCAAGAGGGCCCCGACACTGCCTCAAGAGGGCCCCAGGACCTGACCTCCGCTCCGAGATGCACCGTCCTTTTTTGGATACCTTCTCATCCAGGAAGCTTCGCCAGAAAAGCCCCAGTCGAAATTTCAAGTTCCCACAAGTCCCCCAGAAAGCGTTGACGGGCAACGTGCTCAACTCACGCTCGTGTGCCTTCTGTCATCTTTTCTTGCGCACATCCTTTCCAAAGCCGGTGGCTCGTATGAGCTCGGGGTCGTCATCCTGACGTTCGGCTGCATCTACGAGTGCTGCGTCGGCGCTCCCGACGCGAAGGCCCGAAAGGCAGAGGCGGACGTCGAGGACGGCGCCGTGAATGCCCCTGTGCCGTACATCATGATCAACAACTAGTGAGTTTTGAGCCCGAGTTCGACGCTACCCCTGTTGAGCTTGTAGACCGTTCATCATGTGTGTCCTCCACATGTTGCGATCTGCGTTGCCCCGGGTACGCTCGCACAAACTTGCTTTATGGCAGTTGGGGCGTTCAATCTTGAGACATATTCAGGTGACATGAGTATTGCTGCAGAGCGGAGGGGGGAGAACAAAAAGAAGCCCCCAAGAGGCCTCAACAAGCGCCCAAGAGGCCCCCTAGAGGCCCCCAGAGGCCCCCAGGAGGCCCAAATGAGGCCCCAAAGCTGCTCCGGAGACGCTTCACAACAGCTGTCCAGAGGCCCCCGAGAGGCCAACCACGATTACACAGCTTTCTTCGTCGGACGTTTTCCCTGTCCAGGAGTCTATGAGATACCTAAAGAATAGGCCACTTTGGCCATACAGTAGGCTACTCTACCAGACAGCCTACCACACAGCGCACCTTGCGAGTACGTACGTCGACAGACTCCGTCAGACTGAGTTTGGCCACGACCGCTCCCCCTGGGACCGGTCTTGGGGCGCCCTTGGTGCCTTGTTGAAGCCCTACCTGGCCCTCCCTGGTTGCCTTGGGGAGACCCACGTGAGCCCCTAGAGGCCCCCAAGACGCCCACAGGCCCCCAAACCTGCCTCTCTCGCCCTGTGCCAGCATGGCAAATTGATGAACACAGTTTTGACTCCGGCCGCCTCGCCGACGTCCACGACGACGACGAAAACGCCAACGACGACGACGACAGGCGGAGTCAAAACTGTGTACATCAATCGTCGCTGGTCATCGTCGTCTTCGTCGTCCTCGTCGTCGACGTCGTCGGCACCTGCCTGTCTTGCCCTGTGCCAGCGGAACAAATTGATGTACGCAGTTTTGACTCCGGCCGCCTCGCCGACGCCCACGACGACGACGACGAAGATGCCGACGACGACGACGACGACGACGACGGCCGGAGTCAAAACTGTGTACATCAATCGTCGCGGATCGTCGTCGTCTTCGTCGTCCTCGTGGGCGTCGTCTCCCGCACCTGCCTCTCTCGCCCTGTGCCAGCGGGGCACATTGATGTACACAGTTTTGTCTCCGGCCGCCTGGCCGACGTCCACGACGACGACGAAGGCGAAGACGCCGACGCCGACGACGACGACGACGACGACGACGACGTCGACGACGACGACGACGACGACGGCCGGAGTCAAAACTGTGTACATCAATATGCCCCGCTGGCACAGGGCGAGAGAGGCAGGTGCCGGAGACGACGCCGACGAGGACGACGAAAACGACGACGATAGGTAGTGAGGGGCCCTATGATGAAGTAAGGTGGCGGAGGAAGGCGAGGAGGAGAAGGATGACGACCAAAAGGAGGGAGGAGGAAAAGGAGGAGGAGGAGGAGGAGGAGGAGGAGGAGCGAATACCGGGAGTTGATTCTGATCTCTTGCCCCCCTGGCTCTTTAGGAAGTCCCTTTCGCTGGACTGGAGTCGAAACTGTGCACTGACTTGCGCCCCTCTGTCGAGGTCTTCCTCCCGTTTCCCGTCTTCAGGGAGGCCCCGACTGAGCGACGAGGGCATTTGCATATCATAGTATGTCCTAGGTTTCGTGCTTCTCCCACCCCTCCAAGGAGGCCCAGCCAGAGCGGGGAGGCAATCGGCATGAGGCATACCATGTTATTGGTCAGGATTCGTACCCCTTCCCCTCCTCCAGGGAGGCCCGGCCAGAGCGAGTACGGCGAAGGTGTTCTCCGTAAGCCCGCGAGTCAATCAAAGTTTGCTTTGGGGAACTCCGATAGCAAAATTTGGGGAGCTTCTTCGTGGCAACTTGGGACTCTTCGGCGCCTCTTGCCAATTGGGGCCATCTTTTGTGTTCTTCCTCTTGAGGCTTGGGGCCCCCTTGGGGATCTCTCGGGCCGTCTGGCAGGCGCCTAGGCCTGTCTTGGAGCCCTCTTGGGCCGTCTTCGGGCCATCTTAGGGGCCTGACGAGCCGTATTGGAATGCTCTTGGCGGTCCCTTGGGCCGTCTTGGACGCTTGCATGACGAAAAAAACGAGTGAGCGAAACGTGTGCGTTTCCTAGAGGATTCAGAACATGGTCGACTCTTCTGGCTCTCTCGGCGGCCATCTAGGAGCACTCTTGGGCCGTCTTGGGGGCCGCGTAGGTCATCGCGCACCCGTATCGGACCGTCGTGGGATTACAATGGGTCGTTTTAAAGCCCTATCGAATTATCTTGGCGCTCTGTGTGAGCCCTCCTGGGCTGTTTCGAGCTCTTTTAAGGCTCCCGAGGCTCCAGGTAAAGCGTTCACGAAGTCATAGGCCCGGGGAAGGCCCCCTCAAAACGTCATTTTGGGCCCCAGGGGATCGGGAAGAGTTGAGGGGCACAGCCAAATGTCTCACACGGATTCCCCCCCAAGTTGGAGTGGGCGGATTTTGAAAGATTCGCACGGCAGTGGGCATCTAAGAAAAACGGTGGTCGTTGGCGCCACGATGTGGCCCACGTATGGCCGGGAGGGGCTGTCCCGCAGTTGACGACCACCACTTTGTATGCTCCGTTCCAATTACACATGTGTACTTCAATTCTTCGTTTGTCAGTGCACATCTCACAGGAATGGTGGTCGTTGGCCAGCGGCCTCTGGCCCTCCCCAGGCCTTTAATTGATTTTGATTGCTGCGCACGGCAGCGAGCATCTTAGAATAATGTTTGCCGTTGACGCCACGATGTGTTCCACGTGTGGCCGCCGGGTGCGGGGACTGACATTTCGAGCTCCCCGCCCAAAGAGCCCCCCAGGAGCCCAAGAGGTCCCCAGGAGACCCCCAACAGGCCCCCAAGAGGCCCCAAGAGGCTTCGAGAGGCTTCCAGCAAGCCCCCAGGAACGCCCAAGAGAGCACTGGGACTGCCCCAACAAAACCCCGGGACGGCTGGAGGCGCCTCGACAAACCCTCACAGAGTCAAACTGACAACGCGAGAACCAACGCAATGCGCGCTGTAGGCATCCTCTTCTTTGCTGTTCTGTTTTCTCGCAAGTCACGCCCACTTGTCCTCCAAGGTCGGGGTTCGTGGCAATATCAGGTTGGAAAGAGTGGCGGGATCTAAGCCGAGAGGTGTGGCAAAATCCAGGCGCCGATTTGGTATTATCCAGATGATTGTTCAACCGCAGCCCGTAGCTACCTCATGGCTGCCTCGGAGGTACCTCCCTGACGCACCTGCGTGGCATGCAATGCCTCGACCTTCGGAAATTCACATCCATGATCGCGGGGCCCCATGGCCTACCTGCGACTGTGCGACCTGTCCACAGAGACGTTGAGCTCGCACGCGAGACAGCGGAGGGCATACTTATTTATAAGTCCAATCGGTTATCGTACGTACATCGGCCAAATGTAAGGTGATGCGGGTCCCACGTTCGCCCCCCACCAGCTCTTCGTTGGCGCCCTCGTCCCGAATTAGCTCGGTCAGAAACTCCATTCACCCATCCTCACGGAGTCCTTGCAAGGACGGAGTCCTTGCTTCCCCACCTCTCGTCCGCCCCGACAGTCGGATCAAATCCTGAAGCTAGATCGTGGCCTGCAGCCGACAGGCGCGTCAAAGTGTGAAACGACACACCTTGCGGAAGAAGACCCTTTACACAGCCGCCCATGATGAGGGCCCACGAGGGGAGGCCACGCTGCGGGGGCCAATGATGGGAGGCCACAGTGGCCCACGGATTTCGGGGGTTGTGGCGGCCATGATGGGCCACCGGTTTCTGGGGGCCCGGGCTGCCTCACCGGGCGCTCATTGGAAACAAAGCACAGAGCCCTTGCAGACAGGCCGCGTAGGGAAACAGACTCGCCGAGCCCTTCCCGCCGCATCTCTTGAGGGTCCGCCTCATCTGTCTCTCTAGGCCTCCCAGAGGGGGTCCGAGCAGATGGGGTCAGAGGGTCAGGCCGCATCGCCGCTGCATCGGTGATGCATCGGTGATGTGTATCGACGATGCGGCGCGATGCTTCGATCCCATCTACTCGGATTCCGTGAAAGAGGCCTCCAGTGGCAGCACCGCCGGCGGCTCAGTGCCGCCTCCGCCAGCGGAAGGCCAGCGGAAGCCGGCGGAAGCCGGCGGAATTGCCAAGGCGAAGAAGAGGGCCCGCGCCCAGGCGTGAGAGCCGGCCCACCCACCCCAAGGTCACTCGACCCTCCCCCTGACGCCTTGCAACAAGGTCGAACCAGGAGTAAGGGATCCGATCAGCGCTTAATCTCTTTTTTTTCCGCTCGAGTTCGGGTGGCCAGTGAGTTTCTGGAGCGGGGCTCGCACTTGTCCGGCGTAGTCCCGTAGCCCTCCCAGGATCAGAGGATCTAGGGAGGCTACACTCGCTGTGCCATCCTCGCAGGGGCGGGGGTGCGCGGGGGCAGGACGTTAGGCTCTATCTTCCAGCACTTTTATAGTGTAAGCTCTCCTGTAGTCCGCCTCACGTGTCTCCGTGGGCTCTCACATCGATTGCAGATCCGATGGCGCCGCGATTGCGGTAGGCTTTCAGCTAGCCCTTCACAAGACCTCCAGAGCCTGACGTAGCAGGGGGTAGTGCGTCCAAAAAAAGGAAGTAACAATTGCGCCCCCGAGAGATGATTTTTGTTTGGGGCTCATGTTGCAAGCCCCCCCCCCTTGCTTGACGCCAGGCACCTAGCCTGACGCCGGTCCCGCTGCCGTTGGGCTCCGGTAGCACCCTGGCCAGGGAGCAGCGATGACGTGCGGCTCTAGTGAGTGCTTGAGCCCCAGCTCGAGGCTTCTCGGAATCTGGAGTTGCGCGTGCCGGGGCGAGTGCTGGCGAGGTGGCGTCAGGTCAAGCACCTGGCGTCAGGTTAGGCTCAAGCGCGCCGGGTCCATCCATCACAGGTGGGGGCGGCGTCAGGTTAGGGGTTAGGCGCCCTGGCGTCAGGCTAGGAGAGGAGGGCCTTGCATCCGGGGGCCCAGCATCTCTTTGAGGAGCCCGCCTCCTCCGCGGCAGCACCGCCAGCAGCACGGTGCCGCTCTGCCTCGAAGGCGGCGCGTGCCGCGCGGCCGAGGTCCCTCGAGTCGAGCCGGGTCGTGGCCGGACGGGCACGGGCCTTGTCAGAGCCCCAGGGGCGAGAAGGAGGAGGCGGAGGATGAGGACGAGGACGAGGACGCGGAGGAGGAGGCGGAGGAGGAGTGAGGGAGGGAGTGAGGGGAGGAGGCGGAGAAGGAGGTGGAGGAGGAGGAGGAGGAGGAGGAGGAGGAGGAGGAGGAGGGAGGGAGGGAGGGAGGGAGGGAGGGAGGGAGGGAGGAGGAGGAGGAGGAGGAGGAGGAGGAGGAGGAGGAGGGGAGGAGGAGGAGGAGGAGGAGGACCAGTGCAAACTCAAGACACATCAACGATGTAGGAATAACCCTCCCCACCAGGCTCTCTCTTCGCAGGCCCCGACAAGGAGTCATTTCCACTGCAGGAAGTGCCCCGCTTGGAGACAATCGCTTGAAGATCGTGAAGCGTGCCCAATCAGCATTCTCGGGACTGCAGCGCCACGAAAGAACTTGACTGTTGTGTCTTGACGATCCTGAATCGCGCCAGGACGCCATTCCTGAAACCTCAACACCGCGAATCAGCGTAACTGTTGCGCCCTGGCGGTCCTGAATCGTTCCAAAACACAGTTTATGGTACGTTATCCATGGTAATCCGTGACACCCTGGCAATGTTTAAGACGAGTGTGCGCGGCGCTAAGGCGAGAGCCACATTCTGAAAACGAACCGCCCTCCATCCGCGAAGCTCTTGCACATGTTGAACACGAATGTGCGCGGCGCCAACGCGAAAGCAGCATTTTGAAGTTGACCCGCCCTCCATCCATGAAGCTCTTGCAACATATTTAGAACGAACGAGCGCGGCGCCAATGCGAGAGCCACATTTTGAAAACCGCCCGCCCTCAATCTGTGAAATTCTTGCAAACTGTTGAGATGAATGCGCGCGGCGCTAAGGCGAGAGCCACATGTTAAAAGCCACCCGCCCTCAGTCCGTGAAGCTCCTGCCAGTGTTTAGGATGAATGTGCGCGGCGCCAAGGCGAAGGCCACATCTCGAAACCCACACGCCCTCAATATGTGAACTTGTTATTCAGGTTTTAGCTTCAGGGTCATATACATGGTAAGGACGTCTCAGGTGAAACGCCCGGCCCGCCCTTTCGACCGGCTTCGGGATGCGATTGGGAGCATTTTCTTGTGAGGAAAAGGATTAGGTTGGGGGAAGGAGGAGGATGAGGGGAAGTTGGAGCAGGACGGGTGGGAGGAGGAGAGGATTAGGAGGGAGGAGGAGGAGGAGGAGGAGGAGGAGAGGATTAGGAGGGAGGAGGAGGAGGAGGAGGAGGAGGGAGGAGTAAAGAAGGATGGAAGGGGAGCGGGTGCAGCCGCTGTCCTCGCGGTTGCCATCGGCCCAGAAGTATTATTACATGAATAGACCTCCCGCCCCGCCCACCCCCCCGCGGCCGCCGGAGTTGGCCGAAGCCCGCGAGTTGGAGCGGGGCATGCAGAAGCTCGACGAGGAGACCTCGGGCGGGGGAGAGTTGGACGAGGAGGAGGAGCAGGAGAGGGATGATGATGATGATGATGATGATGATGATGATGATGATGATGATGATGATGATGATGATGATGATGATGATGATGATGCAGATGCTGATGCTGATGCTGATGCTGATGCTGATGCTGATGATGGTGATGACGATGACGATGATGAGGATGATGATGATGATGATGCTGATGATGCTGATGATGATGATGATGATGGTGGTGGTGGTGATGATGATGGTGATGATGATGGTGGTGGTGGTGATGATGCTGATGCTGATGCTGATGCTGATGCTGATGATGATGATGATGATGCTGATGATGATGATGATGATGATGATGCTGATGCTGATGATGATGATGATGATATGATGATGATGATGATGATGATGCTGGATGCTGATGATGATGATGATGCTGATGAGGAGGAGGAGGAGGAGGAGGAGGAGGAGGAGCGAGGAGCGAGGAGCGAGGAGCGAGGAGCGAGGAGGAGGTCTGGAGTGAGGAGGAGACGGAGAGGAGGAGGGAGTCTGAGGATGAGGGGGAAGAGGACGAGGAAGACGACGACGAAAGGGAGGCGAGGGAGGAGGAGGAGGAGGAGGAGGAGGAGGAGGAGGAGGAGGCGGAGGGGGAGGAGGAGGAGGAGGAGGCGGAGGAGGGGGAATGGAGGAGGGGGAGGAGGAGGAGGAGGATGTGGGGTGAGAGGAGGAGGAGGCGGAGGAGGAGGAGGAGGAGGACGCGGAGGAGGAGGAGGAGGAGGAGGAGGAGGATGAGGAGGAGCAGGAGCAGGAGCAGGAGCAGGAGGGAAATAACAAATGGCGACGACGACGGCGGCGACCACGGTGACGACAAGAGACGGCGACGACGACGGCGGCAGCGGCGGCAGCGGCGACGGAGCCAACGACGACGACGACGACGACGACGACGACGACGACGACGACGACGACGACGACGACGACGACCACGACCACGACCACGACCACGACCACGACCACGACCACGACCACAACCACGACCACGACCACGACCACGACCACGACCACGACCACGGCGGCGCGGGGCGGCCCCTCCCCTGGGCGAGGAGATCTCCGAGGCGCAGGAGGCGGGCCGCCTCCCCGCCTTCTGCGGTGACGGGGTCGAGGACGCGCGCGCGCACGCCCGCGTGCGCTTGTCGCCATGAGGGGCGCTCCAGAGAGGTCCTCGCCTCGCCTGCGAGGAGTCGGAGGGGTTGGCATCTCCGAGTCCTCGCAGGCGAGGCGAGGCCCTTCCCAGAGCGCCCTTGATAAGGGGAGCGGAGAATGACAAACATAGAAACGGAATTCGAACTCGGAGGTCCGCGCGGATTCCTCGGATCCGCGTTGGACCCTCCCGCGGCAGCGCCTCTGGCGCCGCGCCGCCCCCGGTGCGCCCCGCGCGCCTGGGAGGGGGTCCAGCGCCGATCCGAGAAATCCGCGCGGACCTCCATTCCCCTGATGGGGGGGCACTCCAGAGAGGCCCTCGCATCGCTGGCGAGGAGTCGGAGGGGTTGGCATCTCTTCTTCGGCGGATTGCGGCGGAGGGCCATCGGAATGCTGCGGAAGCAGAAAGAGGACGGCTTCGCCGTGGGGCCTGGCTTTCCTGGGCGACCCTTTGGCTGTGCTGCTGTGGTCATGGGGCGGCCGCTGGCTTGCCTTTTACCCCATGTGGGGCTCTCTTGGGCAGGCTTGCGACCGTCGAAGCGAACCAGCACCGGCGGAAGCTTGGCAGAAGGCGGCCGCAGCAAAGCCAGACACCCCCCCCAGAGTTGATGTTTTTGAGGTTCAAGGTTTGCGGACCGCGTCAATGTAGCAAGCGCGGCCTGAGGAAACGGGTCCTGTAAGGTTTTCGCCGTCTTCGGACTCTGGTTCTCTTGGGGCCCTCCACACCCTGACATTCTCTCGCTGTGAAGCAAACGCGGCGGAGGATTCGTGACAACTTTCGGCCTGTGGGGGCCCTCGCTGGGCCCAGGGCCGTCAGCAAAACTGCCCGGGATGAGAGATTTGTTCTGGGGGAGTGGACCACAACACCCATGGGGAGCCACGTTGCGAAACAGATCAGGATGACGGATGTCTGGGCAGGCCCTGGAGCTGTCAGGAAGAACTCTTCATGACGAGGAGCTGGTCCTGGGGGAATCGGGTTAACCCAAAAGGGGGTCCAATGACAAGGGGGTGGTGCAACAGATGTGGTGCAATCGATTTGTGGGGTTGCAATACATTTGGGGCGTGCAATACAGTCCGGGGCGCAAACGTATTGCTGGATTTTCGCGTGCAACACATGACTTGCAATGCAATGCAATTCAGTTCTCTGGCGCAATACATTTGCAATCGATTTGCCCCGAATCTATTGCACCCTCCCCTTTCAGCTGGACCTCCGTTTGGGTCCCCTAAAGGGAAGCCCCGGGGTCCAGGGCTCCCCTTTTCTCAGCGGGCGCCTGCCGCACACGCCGAGTCAGGCTCGGGCGCGCGCGCACTCGGGCGCTGGGGCGCGCCGTGCGGACGGTGCGGGCGGGCGCGGTCGCTGCCGAGGCCCTCCGGGCTCGAGGGGCAGTCGTCTGTCTGCGGGCTTCCCGCAAGGCCGAGTTATGGGAAGCCCCTAGGTCGCCAGAGTCCCCAGGGGGTGCTGGCGCTCTGTGGGTTTCCCATAGTTCGCAGGGGCGTGCTGAGACTTTTCTTGTGGGCCTCCGGGGGCACTCTCGTCGCCACGGCCCTACCCCCCATTCCCCCCCCCCCGCCCCCCCGGTGAGCTCCTTGGCCGGAATGCACCCCACAGCAGGTCGCGGGGTTCGCCGCCCGCCGCCTGAGTCGTGTCGCCGTCTTTGTCGTCGTCGTCGTCGTCGTTGGCGTCGCGGTCGTCATCGTCGCAGTGGTCTGGGTCTGAGTCTGAGTCGCCGTCTGAGTCGCCGGAGAGGGGGATGGCGAGGCCGTTGCGGTCGAGACGTGGGAGGGTCGGGGTGCTCCCGAGCTCTCTATCTCTCCGTCGCAGCGCCGCCGAGCGAGGACCTCATCGCGCGGCTGTCCGAGCTGAGCCCTGGAGTCTCCCCCGGCTTCGAGACCGACGAGGCGTTCAGAGGCGTCGCGGGGGCGGGGCGGTGACCCGTCGGTGCGGGGGGGGGGCACAGGGGGGGCGAGCCCTTCTTGTCTTGTCCTGAGGTCCTGGCGTTGCAGTTTTTCCAAGACGGCCGATTCTACCTTGTACAGTCAGCCCGCATAGTAGGGATGGGCAAACTTCCCAAGGATACCCTTGCATCTGTGCCTCCTCGGCCCATCCTTAATCAGCGACTTTCGTTAGCCGCGCCCCGCTCGTAAAACGTCGAAATGGGCGTCCACGGCCCTTGCATCCTTGCCGCGCATCCTGAGTATACGGGTTGACTGCAATCGGCCCCCAGGGTCCTCACAGATCGATCTGGCCGAAGAATGCCGCAGAAAGGTTGGATGCACGGCTCTGGTCGGGTTTGGTTCGCGAAGTTGCCGCTTGTTTGTTCGCAGCGTCGGATCTCAGGGCAGAACGTTCAGACGGCCTCCGTCCTTCTGAGACGCCTTATCAGCCTTCTCCAGAGCGGAGCCAGAGAGGGTTCCTCGAAAGGCTGGAGGGCTGCTCCCAGATCATCTGTTACCTAGAATGTCCCGCAACGCTCTGGACGAACCGAAATTCTGCCCCTGGCCGCGCATCTCAGGGCTGAGCGAGCCGTCGACGTCTTCGAAGACGCCTCCTCGCTACCGAAATTCGGCCCCCTCCTGTCGCGACCGAATTCTGGCACGACCGACGTCCGTTACCGAAAATCTCCAGCCGCGGACGACTTGGGTTGGGAAACCCCGCAGCATTCCGAGAAGGCCTACCCCTTGTCGGTTCATCCACCTTCGGCGCGCTGCGGAGTTACGGCAGGTTCTGGCCGCGTGGATGCGGCGGCGACCCCAGCGAGGGCCTTCAAAAGTTGTAAGTTGAAAGCCGCCAGGAGACAGTTGTTTTCCCCCAAACAGTGTTTGCACTCTGGGATGCTTCTGTCTCTTCTGAGGAACTACACATGGTTAATTTTGTTGTTTTCGGAAGTTTCTTGATTTTTGGGGGGGCCAAGATCCTTTCATTTCTAATTTTTCTATCCTGGGCCTCTTCCTGGCCACTAGGGGGCCAGGAACAATTAGAAACGAGCAGAATTAGAAGTGAGCACGATTAGAAATGAACGACGTGTAAGTTGAAAGCCGCCAGGAGACAGTTGTTTTCCCCGAAAGCGGTGTTTGCACTCAGGGATTCTTCTGAGGAGCTAGGCCCGTCTGCGGACACGGCGCCCCCGTTCCCGTCCGTCGCCGCCCAGGTCTTCCCCCTTAGAAGGGCTTCCTTGTTGGGGGAAGCCAACGGGTACCCGCGCCTCTGCTCTCCGGACCTCTCCCGGGGCGCGTTCTGACCAGGACTCCGAGGCGAACCCAGCGGTAGCGACGAGAGGGCCTCCCCAGGAGGCCCCAACAGAGGCGAAAAAATGAAGGTAGGGCAGTGATACATCTCCCTCCTCGGAGGATCGGCGGCGCGGCACGCGAATCAAACTTAAACAACTACATAGAGACGCACACATGCTCGGAGTTCCGCGCGGAGCGCGCCCCCGAGGATGTTGCCCGGGAGGCGCCGCCAGGGGAGAACCCTGCGCCGAGCCAAGAGAGGTCTGTGCAGTGCAGGCTGCCCTCCAAACGCCTACGTGTGCGCAGTCTGCCTCTTCTCTCCCTCTTCCGGGCATCGTTCGGGCGCGTGCCTTCTTTTTTCTTGGCGAGGCCAGCGCCCAGCAATCTGGACCATCTGGGAGCAGCTCGGACCCATCCAAGAGAACTCTGCGCAGGCCTCCGAAAGCCTACGTGGGCACAGTCTGCCTTGCCTCTTCTTGGCATCGCTCGGGCGTGTGCATGCTGTTCTTGGCGAGGCCAGCGCCAGGCAGTCATCCATAAGCAGCTTGGACCATCTGGCGCAATTCAGAAAAAAAACGCACGATACCGAACAGTGCAAGAGGAATCGACGCCCGAGCGATGGCAGGTCGTCTGGTGGAGCAGACGCTCCTGACCGTAAGTAGCGCCCGCTCGTGCCGATCGCGCTGCTGCCTGCGGTCGCGAGGCGGGGGGGGGGGAGGCGAGGGTCCGGCGTGTGTGTTTGTGTGTGTGTGTGTGGGTGTTTGTGTGTGTGTGGGTGTGTCTGTATGTCAGTGTGTCTGTGTGTCTGTGTGTCTGTGTGTCCGTGTGTCCGTGTGTCCGTGTGTCCGTGTGTCCGTGTGTCCGGGTATGTGTCCGTGTGTCCTTGTGTCCGTGTGTGTGTGTGTCTTTGTGTGTCTTTGTGTGTCTTTGTGTGTCTTTGTGTGTCTTTGTGTGTTGTGTGTTGGGGGGGGAGCGCAACCACAACCCCCCCCGGGGGGCCGGACTGGCGACAGCCACAGGGGGGAGGAGGCAGCGAGGTGAGGGGGAGGAGGAGGGAAGAAGGGAGGGACGAGGGGGGGAGGAGGAGACGGAGGAGGAGGGAGGAGAGGAGGAGAAGGAGGAGGAGGATGAAGTAGGAGGAGGAGGGAAAAAGAGGCCCGCGCCCGGCCAGTACCAGGAAGATGGAATTGAAGAAGGAGTGGAGGAGGTAGCAGAAAAAGGAGGACGAGGAACGATGGCAGGAGGAAAGAAGTACGAGAGGAGGGAGGGGAAGTGAGGAGGAGGAGGAGGAGAGGAGGAGGACATGAGAAGGAGGAGAAGGAGGGAGAGAAGGGGAGAAGGAGGGAGAAGGAGGAGAAGGAAAGGAAGAAGGAGAGAGGGTCGAGGCGGGGGGCGGAGGAGGAGGAGTGAGAGGAGGAGGAGGAGGAGGAGGAGGAGCTGCAATGTGGCATCGGAGGGGGAGAGGGGAACACGAAGAGGAGGAGGAGGAGGGAGGCGAGGGAGGAGGAGAGAGGAGGAGGAGGAGAAGGGCGAGGGGGAGGATGGGTGGAGAAAGGAGGAATGAAGCTGGAGGAGAGGATAGGAGGAAGCAGGAGGAGGCATGGAGGAGGGAGAAGGGAGGAGGGGAGTTGGAGGAGGGAGGCGTCGGACTCCCACCCCCGACCTCCGGCAGCGGCCGCGCTGCTCCCAGCGGTCGCGAGGGCCCCGCGGCGGGGCGGAGGGGCCCGCCGGCGGGGTGGGGGGCGGCCCGGAGAGGCCGCGCCGAGCACGCACTGCGCCGGCTGGCCCTCGTGGAGCTGTGGCTCGGGGGCACGCAGCTGAGGCTGGAGGAGATCCTCCTCCTCCTCCTCCTCCTCATCCCCCCCCTCCTCCTCCTCCTCTCCTCCTCATCCCTCCTCCTCTCCTCCTCCTCCTCCCTCATCCCCTCCTCCTTCCTCCTTCTCTTCCCCCTCCTCCATCCTCCCTCCTCGCCTCCCTCGCTCCGCTCCCCGTCCCCACTCCTCGTCATCCTCATCATCATCAGCGTCCTCCTCCTCCTCCTCCTCCTCGTCATCAACATCATCATCATCACCATCAGCATCATCATCATCATCATCATCAGCATCATCATCATAAGCATAATCATCATCATCATCATCAGCAGCAGCATCATCATCATCATCGTCATCGTCATCGGCATCGTCATCGTCATCGTCATCGTCATCCTCCTCCACCTCCTCGCTCCTCCTCATCCTCCTCATCCTCCTCCTCCACCTCCTCGCTCCTTTTCCTCCTCGCTCCTTTTCCTCCTCCTCCTCCTCCTCATCGCTCCTCCTCGCTCCTCCTCCTCCTCCTCGCTCCTTTCCCTCCTCAGCTCCGCAGCCTGTCCCGACCAGAAGTAGGAGTGACCTTTCGCTGGAGTGACCTTTGGTGCGGGCCCAATTGTCGAAGACGAAAAAACGCCATAAACATAAAAGTTTGGTGTTCCGTGCGGATTTCTTGGATCCGCGCTGGAGCCCCCTGGCGGCACCTCCGGCTCCGCCACCAGCGCGCTCCGCGCACCGGGCAGGAGGGTCCGGCGCTGATCCAAGAAATCCGCGCGGAGAGCCAAACATCTGATGCGTATGCCGTTTTTCTTCTTCCACGTCGTATGAGTGGCCTTTTGCCGGGGTGACCTCCGGTGCGGGCCCCACGGGGTCCGCCGATCGCCGAGCGCGATGCGATAGCGGCTGCTTGCGCGCTTGGATTTGGCCACCTTTGCGCCCCCAATGGCCCGCGCACGAAAGGTCACTCCCGCCCAGGGCCACTCACTGCGTGCAGCAGCCGACGGTCCCTCCCCCCTGACATCCTCTCGCTTCGAGGCTCGAGGGCCACGGGCGTTCTGTCCCCGTGTCGGCGGTTGTTTCCAGCCTGGGGATGTTGCGTGCAGGGCCACTGTTGCGTGCAGCCGACGGTCCCTCCCCCCTGACATCCTCTCGCTTCGAGGCTCGAGGGCCGCGGGCGTTCTGGCCCCGTGGCGGCGGTTGCTTCCGGCCTCGGGGATGCGATCTCGCAGCGTCGGAGTTCGGGGGGGGCCCTGGTCGTCCCGAGCGGCCCAGGGAGCGCCGAGGTCTGACCCGAACACCAAGGGCGTCACGTCGTCGTGGGGGAATCGCAGTGGGTTTTCAACATTTGTCGGCCCCCATGGCCCTCGGCGGGCCCTCCTCCTCCTCCTCCTCCTCCTCCTCCTCCTCCTCCTCCTCCTCCTTATTCTCATCATCATCATCATCATCATCATCATCATCATCATCAGCATCATCATCATCATCATCATCATCATCATCATCATCATCATCATCATCATGGCACCTGTGCCACTGGGATCCCTCCCCGGGAAAACAGGCGGGTAGCCTCCCGATCGTCACCCCAGGTGCTCCTTCGGGACCCTGGGGGAGAGAAACAAGGTAGGCGTAGGCCGTCCCAGCCCGCGCCACGGGGGAAGCGTCGTGCCTGGGACCTCGGGGCTGTTCCCGACTCGCCCGTGCGGCGGGCGGGGATAGCCCAAGGTTCCAGTGCACGGCCTTTCTTTCCGTGTCCCCCTGCCTGGGTTGTGGGTTTATGCCACGTTTTGTTGCGACACTTTTGCGGTGGCCCACCTGGTA